CTGGGATATTAGGAACCCGTCATCCAACAATTTGTCCTTCTTTATCATTGCGATAACTCCAGCCTAGAAAGGAGAATCTTGATACTTTTAGCATGTACCTTGTTGGATTTGATAAATATCATGCTGTTTTTTCCAAAGTACTACTATCAGTAGAGATTAAACCATTTATCTAATGTCCTATTATAGCTTTTTCTTTATCCATCTGAGATCATTCGACTGCATGTTGGTATTGTTGATTAGGTGCGAATGATCCTAAGATCTCCCTGATCTCCCAATATTTATGCTTATAAAGAATAGGCGTACCACTTTTAAGGCATTGTCCTTGTTCTGTATTCCTTTGAGCCTAGTCTTCTTTCTTCTTTCTTGGTAGAAGGGAGGGAAGGGTATGTTCTTTTTCTTTTGCTTAGCCAAAGATATAGGAGTTGTCAGTGTTCATTATCCACTCACACCAAGGCATAATATAATGACTTATGGTGGATCTTGGGTTCTTATGGAACTGAGGAAATGCATTTAAACATATGAAGTGATCAATAGGAGCTTGTTTACTTTTTTTACTAATGTGAGCTCTGTCTGTTCAATCATGGTGTGAGAAACTTTGTGCTACTCAAAATTCAGGATCAAACTGAAGTAGGCAAAATTTCTTAGAAAAAATCAAGAACGAGCACTATGAGAAGCAGAAACATGACGAGAGAGTGGAAAAATTGTCTCTTATCATAATAGCACTTCTGTAGTGTTTCTCTATGATGTGAGATAGCAGCACATTAGTTCTTTTTCCTTTCAGAACTTTCTTATCATGAGTAGAAAAGGTGTTTTTTGACCTTTAAGGTCACTAGAGGTCAAGTTTTTATTTGAGGAGAATAGTATGTAAGAAGGGTGAAGGTGATTAATGGTTCTTGAAACTTATTCAAGTTGATTTAAGGAAAGTAGTAAGACTTTATTAACCTAGAAGTATAAAAACTTCTTGCGAACATCTTTTTTGTGTGTGGTCAGAGGATCAGCAGAAAGAGTGGGATGATATAAAATTTATTGATATTTTATTAGTTAAATAAATATTACATATATTATTATATCAAATTTTTTATATAATTTTTTTAATTATTTATTAAAGGAATTATTTTATTATACTAATTTCATATAATTATTCAAATAATTAAAACTATTTTATATTATTTATTTGTAATTTACGAATATTTGTATCAAGTTTAAATAAAATAAGAATAATAATTAAATTTTTTTTCTATAAAAAAAAATCTAAGTTAAATGTAATAAATAAAAATCTGTTTTATTTATTAAAAATATTTACCGTTATAGTTTTAGTGATTAATCTTTTTTAAAGTTCATTAATAGTGATTATATGCCAATACAATTTTAATATATTGGCTTTTTTCTAGAGATAGCAACTAATCTTGATTTATTCTAATCAGAACCTAAGTTCAAATTATCAAATAAAGCGAGATCATTAGTAATTCTTATTTAAGAATCTTATATTAGTAAACTCCATCACATACAGTATATAGCTTTATAAGACAATCGATATTTCAAGAATGATTGATTGTGATAGTTAATTCATCACTCGTGTATGCATAAATCAGACAAGAGCGTCTATGGAAATTAAGTCATATAAATACAATTTCCTTTATTAACGGAAAAACCACACCTTAATAGAGATGCAACGTAACGTTAAAGAAAATAGTAATAATTTAAATTTTAGATGTATAATACAATGCTAGCTAGCCTGACTTTTTTAATAAATTTGTTTTTAAACCCAACAACATTCGTAAAATGGCGAATTACTGCGCATAATTTTAAAAATTTGCTAGGGACATGCTTATATGGTAAATAATGAGAAAAACTGGATTAGATCGGTCATAGAAACGGTTTCTTGAACTTTGTGTTCCTCATTGACAATCCATACACGATGAATGTGGTTCTCTACAATCAGTCTTAGGACCTCACGTAACGAGGTATTCTCTGTAGCTGAAATTGGGGTTAGACTGGTATTACTATTTGGTAGAGTCTTGTGAATAAGCAACGATTAAATGTTAGATAAATTTGGTAAAAATAAACCAGAATAAAACAAAAACATCAATGGCGTTTGCCTACTTTTAAGAATTGGAGAACTGGTAAAATGAGATTATCGATGGACTCGTAGCTTAAACCACGGAGATCGGATACTGATAAATTCCCGACTAATCGTTCATCACTTGTAAAAGTAAAGAGCAATCCAATTTCTTTGTCAATTAAACTTCCCATGGATAATATAATACATCACACACTTACCCGTCGACAATTGGGATTCCTGTAAGATTTTTTTCGCACATTCTTCTGTATACATTCAAGGCAATTTCGTGATCATGACCAAGAACAATTTTGTGTTCTTTTCTCAAAAGACAGAGAGATTTTAATGACAAGTCGAAGTTAACTGAAGGTAAACTTTCGGGATGATTGTAAACGTATCTAATGATGTCAGTTTGAGTCAGGATATAAGATTTTGTTTGATTGGTGTAGTCGATCACCAATGAACGATGAATCCCCCTGCCAAAAGCTTGAAGTGTCTAATTCATTTTTCAAAAAAAAAAGGAAAATTTTTTCTTGATTAGGAGTGCATTATATAAAATGTTCTGATTCCATAGCTTTATCGTGGTTATTTAACAAAGGGTATGTACTTACATCTTTCAGACTTTCATTTGCATCACTTTTAAAAATCCTATAACTTTCCCTTTCGTCATCCAATGTCATGACAGATTCGATTGAATCGTCTAATTGGCGACTCCTCTCGCTCTCCAGATGATAAGGCAACATTTCACCAGATGCCACTTCTTTAATAACATAATTGAGCACATCGACAAGATTAACAATGTTCACTATATTTTCAGAATTATGAGAGTAGATGGGTAAAGATGTAATATTATTTTTTCCCATAATTTTCAAAGCCTCCCGTACAGTAATCACAGGGAGTGCAACAATCAAGGCTGGTTTTGTAGAATCCCCTTTGACTTCTAGAGGGGTGAGCTCTGAGAGTTTTTTTTGAGCCATATTATAGAGAATTTCGTCCGAATAAATCGGTTACCTAGAAGAATTCAGAATAATGGTTAACAAACGCATAATCATTTTGTTTTTTATTTTGCATTTGATAAAAGATAAAATTTCTTTGAGAAATATTTTTCAAGATTCCAATCAACACAATAAAAATAGAAAAAAACTATACACAATTTAGTTCGAGGATAAATAATGAATGTCATACGTACTTTTAATAACTTAAGGGTGAGATGTAGATGGTGACAATCGTATGAGGAATCCGTTTTTATTTATATATTATATTTGCGTCTTACGTCACATAAAATTAAGAACGTCATACACGGATATGTCATAGTTATTGCCTAATTAGCTTTTGATGTGGCAAGGGTCTAACGCCTGTCATAATACGATCGGCATAATCACGAATTGTATAAACCGTAAGTTCCATAACATCACCTAACAAAATCATATCATGCCTCAATCGAATTGTTACACTAAAGTTCTCCTTAATAGTAACTAAACGTTTTGTAGGGATGCCTTTACTAGTAATAGTATCAATATAAAAAAAAATTTTTTTTTAATACCGTAAACCATTGCCCCGGGTATTCTACTAGAAGGGGGGTAGTATAAATGACAGGATATTTAGTGTCTTATTATCATCTGACGTATCTCTCACTTGTCCATTCATACTGCAATTTTATTGGCTCTAGCTTAATATACCCAGGTAGTAATCATTTATTGAGTAACAATTTTCTTGAATACTATCGGGTATTATTTAAGGGGTGATATTACTTTAGGGGGGTATTGTATGCAGTGGTTTACGGTAATAATAAAACTTTAGAAATTATTTATAAAAATTTTTTCAAAAAAAATATCAAAAATAGAATAAATATTAAAAATTTAATATAATAAAATATAGTAAATGAACTCAAACTTTTAAAAACAACTATATATAAAAGATTTTTATATACTGTATTTTACTATTATATGTCTAGATTAATTTTTTAAAGCTTTTGATAATAGGATATAATGTTAGACTTTTAAGAATTTATTATTAAAAATAAATTAGTAAATATAATTAAAGAAGTAAAGATTCATTTATTTGAAGAAAGTAAGATTGATCCAGAAAATTCCACCAAAAGAAAAATAAAAATAAATAATTATAGTAGGTATTCTGAAAAAATATTTTTTGACAAAATATTTAAGTTAAATACTGTAATTATAATATTAATTATAATTACCTAAAGTTAAAAAATTTGTTAAAAAATTTGAATGGATATTCAAAATCAATTCAAATATTTTAATTAACTCATAAGTAATAATATATTATTATAATATAATATTACTAAAAAACTTGTCAAATTGAATATATAGTTTTAAAGAGATTTCAAAATATAAAAAATAAGAAAAAAACAAAAAAAGATAATTAATCAATAATTAAACTTAAAAATAAAAAATTATTAAATATAAATAAGGAAAAATCAAGAAAAGTATATAAATAGATAAAATTTGTAAGAAAATTAAGAAATTAAAAAAAAAATTGAAAAAAATTGAAAAAAATTTAACAAAATAAAACTAATTAAGACTAGTTTCAAAAAAATTAGTTAAAATATTTTAAAAAAAAAAACAAATAAATGAAAGAGAAGAAAAAAGAAAAGAAAAAAAAGAAAAATAATAAATAGTTTAGTTAATTGATTTTGGGATTTTTTAATAAAATTTATAAAATTTGTTAAACTTTTTAAATATCTATAGAATTTTAATAATAGCAAAAATTGAAAAAGATTTGTTAAATTTTTATTAATCTAATTAGACATGATTTAAACATTAAATAATATACAGTTCATTACAAAAGTCTTTGGACTGATATTTTTTATTATAATTTAATAAATAATTATTGAATTTGAATAA